ATTTAACGTGGAATCACTAATCAACCAAGGGTTTTTCTAATTGATCATTAAGTGCACAACATATGTTTTGAAAGCACTTGAGCAGTTTCTGCGTGAGCCGGTTGGAGTTTGGAAACGTTGTTTTAATGGCAAACACTCAAGATTACTGTGAAAACTACAAGTTAACCAGAAGCTTAAGTTGCTTCTTCAAGGTGTCTATAAACTACGGGGTTGCGTCCGGTGCGCCAGCCAGCAGAAAATGTACCGTAATAAGCAACTTTGTGGTCAATCAAGTACTTTGCAATGGCAAAATCCAGTTTTCTATCGGACACGCGTGCAGACGACTTTATAATGAAGACGGATGTAGTTGGTTAAATGCAAGTATGCATTGTGGCCACTGGCTAAGGATCATTTTAGAGCGAGCATGTAACATTTGCGTAGTTTTAAATCGACGAACGTTTCTCTTATGTGCGCATTCCACCCCCAGTTATGGCTGCATGAAATTATTGAAATCCTATATTAACCCCGCTGTATGTCCACATCGTAGTTTAAAAGGCCTGTACAGCATAAAACCATCATCTTGTTATCATGTGTAATGATTGAATTTCTTCTTTTGTGTGATCTTTCTTAGCGACATTAAAGCAGATGTGTAAGCTCCGTACACCAGTTAATGCTGGGAATTTCTAATGAGAAACGGGAATCTTATGGTTAGGCTGGATAATATAGAACGCATTAGTCGGCTAACGTATGCTTAAACGATTGCTTTAAAATGTCCTGGCACGCTTAGTAAACACCCGGCTATGCTAGCACGAAGTCTAAAAGCGTTGTGGGACATCGTGTGCCATATTGAAAATTTGTGCCGTTATTATAATTTCATTCGCATGCAGCGAAATGAAATCCGTAACAGCTTACCTTGGCACATGACAATTCCTCTATATTGGGTAACTGCTTTACATACTACACAAATTTCAGACCTAGATCCAATATATAATCCATCGGCTGAAGGCAAACTGCTACCTTTAATCGCCGTAAAACTTAATAGGATTATTGCTCATCTTCACAATGCCATGTATTGCAATTTTTGTTTTTGTCTTGCGCTGTAAGTCTGCTTGGCTAGCTGCTGCTGAACCCTCCCGTTGTATGATGATTTAAATAGATGTGATTTGATGTATTAATTACCTGTACCGAAACGTGGGAACCAAAAATAGTCCTCAACTTAAGAACGCTAAAAGCCAATATCACTGTGCGATTTGTGATGATTAATTAGAATTATAATAAGTATTACTTACTATTTACATATTGAAATAGGATTAATATGGTGATGCAAACTACAGAATACACGTTTACAAGTTACCGTACTACTCATAGTATCAGACATAATGAAAGCGCCGACTGATGTCTACCTACTCTACACGTACGTAGTATTAAATTGGTCATGTTTTAAATAAATTGTGCATTGCATTGGATGGTAATGATGATGATGGAAGAATGATTTTGTCGACTATTTCTGGTCTCAAGAGTCCTGACCAAGTAATTTCGAATTTTAATATGATGGATGATGTATCGATAAATTAAGTGCTTCTTCTCTAACTTTTGATCGGCTTCCCTGTGAAATACTCTTGACATCGACAGACGTAGGATAGCTGGATGCACTTCTGAAATTGCGGAAATCTGGGAAATGTTAGGGAAATGTATACTTTTATGGATGTCTTAAAAGTGTTCTGAAATTGTGAAGGTACGATCGATGTTGTTATTTCTTAGTCAACGGTGTGATTATTGCAATAATTATATAAGTAGCAACACTAATTGATAGCCTAACAAATTTAAGCAAAAATATTGTAAAATGACATAAAAAGAAATAAAACTACTGTGTCTGGTAGGGCATTGCGGTCCCATTGTGACAATGCCCACTTTGAATATACAGTAGGTGTTCAGGCTGATAAGAAGAAGAAACGTTTGATTATTCCCTTGCAGTATATTACCACCTCGCTTGTATCAATATATGCAGTGTATAACATCTGTACAACATCTTGTTTACTCATTTCATCAAATCGTTTTACTTCATAAGTAGCTACCACTCATGAGAAATATTTTGATAAAATAAATCGTCGTTTTCTTTATATGAACTGTTTGATTGATAGATGTGTGTTGCGAAGAAAATAAAGGCGGCGTCTCGCAAAGCTGTATGTTTATGATGAGCTTGTACATGATGGAGATATGGCAAATCCGCTGATTCGTCTTTTCTCTCCGACTTGCTGCTGTCTTCATAATCCATAATGTGTCTTTTTTGTTGTAAACGAACAAAGCTCCAAATGAAACCCTCTGCTGGTGAACACAGACCGCGAACAACGTGGGCAGTATGCCCTTGATCAATAGAAAATTGACTGGCTGCATTATTTCATGTGTTGCCCTTCTTATTCCCCTCAAAGACAGTTCGATTCGAGGCTATTTATCTTTCTCATCGAGCCTGACACGGCAGGAAAACAGTGTTATTTCTTTATAGAGGGGAGTGTAATTATAACTTGTAAGCGAAACTGTGATTTCACGGGATATCAAGGATTATAATACGCAGCCGCTCGTTTGTCATAGACAGGGCGTTGCCCTGCGGTCTACGGCTGCTATTCCCGCATAACATGTTGAGTATGTTATTCTTCCCAGCGATGATCTGTGATAACGATTTAGTCAGGCTGTGTGGGGATTTGTTCACACTTCCGTTTCATATTTCGGATGCATGTGACGGGATGAATCAGGATACAGTCGGTTGTAGCAATGAGCAGGCTCCTTTTTAAATTGCGCTCGTGTCAGTCGGATATGCGCCTGCATAGTGTGGGTGGCGAGCAGCGTAATCGGCATGGCTTATCAAATTAGGCCACTAAAGATGCAAATCAAAAGCATCCCTAAGCGATTTTAAATCTGGGTTTTTAAAAATCAACTCCTGCTTCACTTGATTCCCCGGCTATAGAGCTACATCACATGTCGTGCATATCAATGCACTACTGGAGTCTGGAGGAGTTATTTTGCATGCTTAACGCGTTAGCCGACGTTATTGGCTATTCAGCAAGTGGATTTTTTGGAGCGTAATAACAGAGAAAATCGGCCATTTTCGACTTCACCGCCGATTGTATTATTGTCACCAATAGACTGTAATCAAGCATCAAAGGCTTGAGAATAATTGAATTTTTTGTCATGATATGGCAGATTGAAACAAGAACCAGTTTCATCCGAACGCCGGCATCGGTCCGATATACCAATAGGAAGGGTTGCATAGTGCCCACAGTGTTCATAAAATATATTGTACTAGATCTCGAAATCTTCCAGTTTACAAAATGCATGTTTTTCCCAGTTTACAAAAGAAGTAGCTGTATCGCTTTCTATAAGTTAGTACTTCCTAGTTTTGGATGTGAAGCGATGGAATAATAAATCTGCTTTGGACCTTTATTTTTTATCTTTAATCATATTCTTGCTTTTAAACGGTCAGCTGGCCGTAAATGACCACAGCTTTCGGTCCATTTACTATAAGACTCGTATATATGTAGGCTGAACAATTTTATATACAGTACCCCGGTCATATTATTTTGAGCATGTTATTAGTTGTGCTACAGCTATACCTTCCATTAGTGACCGCTGTATGGCACATATCTTCAAGCATGCAGGCCTCTTTAAATTTTAGCGTCTCTAATAAATGGGCTAAGTAACGAAACATGACATGCTCTTTAGTGATTGTCTGGTTTGAGCGCCGAGAGTTTGTAAGCGATATGAGCCAGTTAATAAGTACGGTGGGAGAAATGTTATTGCAGGAGAGGTGTCCATGTATAAGGGTCGGGGCAGCATTCGTGCCACCTCCTGAGCCAACTCTCCTGTAACCCCTATTGAACGTCTTACCAGACAACATTGTAATTATAATCTCATTGTAAAGAGCTATCGCCTGCAACCCTTTTCTTGTTAAGAGCATCGTCCTTAAATTTCTATAGACTGAGGTCCGGTGCAGAAATTATTAGTGAAAAGACCACTGCATTCCTAAGAGACAGGGGGAATTATATGCTAGCTTTCAGCACTAGACTGGCTGTCGCGGTGCTCATGGAACGCAGCGTTTCTCTTTTCCACGATCTTTTATAGTGGACAGAAATCTCTCATCTCGATGCTTGATCCTTATAAACTAAATTCAAAGCAACAGAGCCCAGCCAAGCGCACAGTGATCGAGAATAGCTGTAGCGGCGGCCACTGGCGGACACGACTGGCATTTAGTGCGTGCGCCTTCTCCTGACCGTAACTGCCCTCTGGTCATATTGACGCGAACGAACATCAACAATCTCAATGATCAATAATATCTCTTTTCTTGTCTTTGATGTGTGAAAAGAGGGAATGTGATGAGACTGGTGCAACTGCGCTCCTCATACATCAGTCCGTCTTTGCCGTCCTATGTACGGTTCGTACTTAGTTTCGGTCCGGTTAAGCGTGAATAATCGGGTCTGCAAACCGGAAACTTTATGCTTTCTGACCATAGAGACATACATCAATCTTTTCGGGCGGGGTTTAATATCCATTCCTGAATCGGTTGTACAACTTTTATCTAGAATCGGCAATTTGCTTGGGTATCTTTTTGTAAAGATGCTATTTTCGTGCCGCAAAAGTTGCGAATTTGTCTTTTCTCTGCCAGAAAACTGCAACAAAGCCATCGTTTCATGAAGAATTATGTGTAGCAATTTGCTTGAATACCATTAATAAGCTAACTCTCGGTTTAGCTTTTCCTTGACTGTCCCGTCATGCGTAACCACAGAGGCGTGTTATATATGATGAGACAAGCGAACCATATTGCACCGTCTCGGTAGACAGTGGCTGTCTTTGATTGAATATTGTTTTTCCCCGCAACATTTGCGCGGAATACAACTGGTTGGAAAAATTCTATGACAGATTGCTTGAGAGAGATTCTGTTGTGCTATGGAGGATGATCCGGATGCGCTAGCTAAAATAAACTCTTTACCCCTTGGCAAACAAATTTATTCTGCTGGTCTAATATATAGGTTATATGCTCCTGACAACCTCGACATATCAGTGTGACCCAGAAATTATCCGCTGACCAGATAGAATCCGATACGGCCCATCATGGTCAATTTAGATAATATCCAATATCTTGTGGCGACGCATGTGTCCTTTATCGTAACATTCGTCTTAATTGCCGGTAAGTGGCTTTTCGTTAGCCCACGCTTCTGAATAAATAGCCGATCATTTCCGGACCAAATGTAACAGTAGCACCTATTCTACAGAGGCACGCTCCGATAGCGCCAGGTTTATCGATCATCCGCAATCGGTCAGCGCACGGCTAGGAGAGGATGTGTCATTGCGCTGCACAATTTATCCACCTGCAATTGAAGTCTTATGGTTCCTTAATGGGTTTCCCTTGCAACCACTGCCCAACTCCACAATCGAGGAGAAGCAAAATAAGGCTACCGGTAAGTGCGCTGATGCTGTGGCATAAACAAACAGACGACGGACTAATTTAATTGGGTTTGATTTGGCGCCTGGTTACGTGCGTGGTGCACATAGCTGTAGGTACTATCGATTTATTTATCAATTATTCATAAATGCAGGTGAACATGAACTTATTATGAAGAATATCTCCGTACAACGTGATGGTCAGTACTACTGCCGACAACGCACCGAAGAAGTCAAGAGTCAGACAGCGCAAGTCACCGTGCTGGGTAAGTGTATCTGTACCTAACTAAATAAATATCAACAAATAAAATGCGATACACTGGAGGGGTGCCGATGGCCCAGTTGAAATTTGGGGCGCGATATAAGAAATTAAAAAGGCATGGGCTATGAAATCTCAATAGTGCACTTGAAAATTTTCAGCGCTAATGAGTATCCAGGTTTGTTGTGTTTGCTAAAAACTTAAAGGCGTGCAAATAATAGCCTAATCGCTCAACCGCAGTGTCTGCTTTACACGCTGATAGTTATTTTATAACTTGAAATATATTTTGTTTATGTCCACTGTATTTCACTTACATTATAAGAATAAACTATAGAATTAGATTAGTTTGAACGAATTCCATTTTTCCCCCACTGGATTGCAAACGGTATTTTATACCAGAAACAATACTTTATGGATCGTTCAGCTGTTTCTCCCACGCTTTTTTATAAAACCCCCACCCGCTCGTTAGCAGAAATTCAGTATAAGTGATTACAACTAACAATGTAAAAAGAACTCGAACGTGAAAATAAAACCTTACTCTGGCTGTTTCTTTCAGTTTTTTTCCAGTCTGCGAGTTTATACTTTAGTGAAATATTAGTACTGGTCCAGATGCCAAATCAATATTTTTTCAAACGAGCGTAATTATTTGCAAACTTTCTATTCGGCTTATTACGCGTAATATGGATCTCACTCTTTTTTGTGTACGATTACGTCTTATTATATACTTATAACTTGAATTTTCAAAAAAAGTGCTACGGCATGCAGTCTTTAATGAATGCTTTGTCGCAGTATAACGTGTTTTGCTATTACCTGAACAATGCTTATAAAAAATATAAGCCTAATCAGGAGAAAGACGGCGGCATCTTTAATTTCATGAAGTTACGAGTTTTTCTTAAGACGGATATATTGCTCGTTACTCTACTAAATGCGTTTCTCGTTTCCGTTGAAGATTAACCATTTGGATGTTGCTATTTGCTACTTATATAATTTTTATGATTGCTGGAATGTTTCCAGCATAGGCGATTAATAAAGGGCATATTCCGGCCTCATTGCGGCTTTTTGTTGGCCGGATTAAGGAAAATGAAAGTCAGTATTTGAGGGAGCCAGATTAGCGCATTAGCACTGTTACGAATTATTAAATTTCCCTTTAGCGCAATGTTGACACAAGACCGCCGACTCTTTTTCCCATCCATGACAAACATAACACTACAAATAGACTTGAGTCCATTTGATAGATGGGCTTTTATATGTGTACATTAGGTCGATAGATAAGCCACTTGTAACTTCCTGTGTTAATTAGTTGCTCCATCCCAAATCCGTCTACTTCCCTTCAATCCCGTGACCATTGTCCAGGAGAATGTGGAAACATCATTAACCTGTCACGTCGACGGAGGCAAGCCGGCACCAACTGTGCAGTGGTATAAGGATGATGTGTTGATTGAAACCGGTGTCGATACACATATAGCCAGCACGGATCTTACCAGCAAAACCGAGAACGTCACGAGCATGCTCAAGTGGACTCCGATCAGAGGGGAACATGAGAAGCGAATATTCTGCACAGCATCCCATACGGCACTCCAGGGAGGAATACTTCGAGTGGAAACCCAGCTGATTGTTGAATGTATGACATTCTAGGACTTCTTCGTGATCAGTGCAACAGGCGCCCACTTAATCTTCCAGATTAAAGTTTTATAAGTTTAATCTGACTTTTTTTTACAAAGTTCTATAAACTTATACTACATAGAGAGTTATCTTTTCAAATCTCCGGTTATCTAAACCTTCGCTTCTTATAGAGCGGTAGATAAACTGCTTGAAACAGTTAATGTTGTTAATTATGAGTAATTTCATTATGGACTATCGTTGTTTTTTAGATCCTCCAGTTGTTACGTTCGCCTCAGTTCCTAAGGTCATTAAGGAGGGGGATTCGGTTACACTGCAGTGTATTGTTGATGCCAATCCGTATATTGATTTGAAATTCCGCTGGAAGAAAAACGATTTGCCCATATATCCGGATGTCTCCGGAGGCACTTTATACATGGAGCATGTCCAACGGAGCGATCGCGGTACCGTCTACACTTGCGAAGCCACCAACAGGATCGGAACCGGCTCGGCGGGATACACGTTCACTGTGCAGTGTAAGAGAAAAGCCCATCAGTATGGCAATTAAAACAGCGTAGCTGTGCAGTTCCCAAAGAGTTATTGGGTATTGATGCTGTCATTAAGTCCTACCATACTGACTGGTTGCGTTTAAGTTTCAAAGGCTTAATCGACTTCCCATATGTCAAACCGAAGAAAGATTCACTTTCGTAGTGAGACAGGCAATTTATATTGGCCGATTTACTATTATCTAATCCCAGGAAATTAGTGACCTGAAGAAAGAAATGGTACATTCAATGCATTTTGATTGTAGCCTTAGTATTTTTGATACCTGAATAGTGCTGTATTTAATGAAGATGCAAAACTTTAATGTTGATGTTGATTAGCCATATCAGCATCCAGCGATATATTATATCTCTTATGCCATCAAGAAATTTAAGCTTATTGTAAATTTGTTTTCTTGCTCTAGTTTGGTGAAATTACCGAAATTGCGGCAGTATTTATGTGCAGCCATTTATGGAAAGCTGGCCACATTTAATTTGCCACTTAGAGATGTTTTTGTGATGATTCATGTACCTATCGGTCACCTGCAAGCCACACGTTTATTTTTTGTGTTTTTGGTAAATATGACCTGTCGGAAGTGCGCTTTGACACTTCGGATTGGCAAAAAACAATGTGACGGCTAGGTAATAGCAGTCGCAGCGGCAGCATCATCACAAACAACGTGCCGTTGACTGGCATGCCGAAAACAATTGACTGTACCCTATACTCGTTTTGCTATATTACAGCGAGATTTTTTCTTCGAAGAAGGTATTAGATAATATTGTGCAGGCATCAGCGTGCTAAACCAATAAAATCCCTTTGCGGTCGGGTATTTGAAAGGCCATGAACGGCTGTACGTTTAAACAAATAAATATTCAAGCGTTGTGTTTTCCGCATGGTTGATTCGAAGCAGGCATATCTAATGGAAAACATCAAGTGCAAAAAAAGAGGGATTATGATCCAGAGATATTTGGACGACGGACGCATCCGTCTTAGATTACATAATATTTTATCTACGCTAAGAACGCCTAAGTACTCTCCAGCTCGCCTCTGGGCTTCGTCCGAATGGGACTCTAAAAGCTTCCGGCCCATTTCCTGAGCGCGTAATGCGAAACCACTAGGACTTTAAAACGGCCCCTCATATGCATATATCCATCCTTATTTCCCATGAGTCATGTGTATTTTTATAGGCCAAAGGTTGCATTATTGATAAATGAGTACGTCTGCCGGAAAGATCGGCTTTATCAGTTGTTGCATAAAGGACTTTATGATTCACGTCAATTATCCGGGATGACTTCTACCTTTTCTGGATTATCGAACCCATTAAAATATATTTAGATCTCTGGGTACATTACCGTGAACTGTAGGAATTACTGCCGATTGCGTGGTGTATTGCTGTATAAATCGATTAGCTAAGGTCGTTCTTAGCTAGTGAATCATTGGCAAGAGCAGTGGGATGAATAACACACTTCGTCCAAACATATTCACGAATTAATTTGTCAAACTAACAATAGAAATAAGCCCTGTACGTACGCCTCTGTACAATGCAAAATAAATCACCCATTTAAAAGACCTAGCCAAAAAACAGTCTGGCAGCTTATTATAATTGCACTTTCAGAAAATTAATGATCCGTAGCGTCTTTTGCGTCTTTTCGATTGCTTTTGTTGACAATTGGATTGCTTACACTGAGCGAATGTCATGTTCTTACGGTCTTCGTTGTGTGTACTCTCAAGTGCATTTAAACACCGCATTTGCTGATTATTTGTTGATATTATTTCAGATCCGCCGGGTTTTTACTCCATGCAGGAAATTTACTCATCAGATCTGAATGCTGACACATATTTAGCCTGCAACGTTGACTCGAGTGAGCCAGCGGATATCATCTGGACACACGAATCATCCTCCCAGGTCATCGGTCACGAAAAAATTTTACAAGTGCACGCTACGAGTGACAGCGATTTCGGAGTGTACAGCTGCACCGCCACCGCTCCCGGCTACCCAGCCATCCGGAAAGATATCAAACTCCTAAAGAAGGGTCCCCCATTCATCAGTGCGGAAGCGTCGGTTTATGCTGGCCAGGAGGACAGCCAAACACAAATAAAATGCGTGATTAACGGTCTGCCCTTAACTATGCAGATACGCTGGATCAATCCCCAAGGACGCACGCTTCTCACCGATCAGCATGTGGAGATTGCACAAGAAACTTTATCTGATCGTGTTGTATCGCGACTGACAATTAAAAATGTCAAAAAAGACGATTTCGGCATGTACAATTGTTCGGCAGCCAATGCCTATGGCAGCAGTGACCGGTTGATTCCTCTGAAAGAAACAGGTTAGAGAGAGGCAATTTCGCTCGTGGAGTTTAAATCGATATTAGCGGCGGCGAGAGATATTTCCAGTTATCTGCACCGCTGAATCGAGATGGGTATGGTGTTGGAAAGTGGTAAAATGATTTGATGTTATTTATTGCAGACTGGATGCTGCCCATTATTATCGGATGCGCCTGTGGCGGAACGCTTTTGCTGCTCGTGATCGTTGCAGCCATTCTGTGTGTAAGATGTCGTTCGCATCGTCGGCTCAAACGCACAAGCGGTAGGTCACTGTTGAAGGCTATAATTGTACCACAAAATGGCAATCGTTTATTGAAAAATCCGGTTTATGAGAATAACAGCGACATCGTCAGCTGCGGCTATAACCGTATTTTGCAACAACATTTATCACTTTCAGGGTTCATGAAATTTCTGCGGTATTAAAAGTACAAATCTCCTTATCAAAAACATGAACCTATACATTTAGTCATTTAGTAGAGAAATAAAAATAATATTGAGAAAACATTCGAAGCTTACGCTAAATATGCATTAATCCCTGTTTTTCAAACCCGAATATTGCTTTGTAAATTTTTTAAGTTAAAAGAATTCTTAATGTACTGACGTCACTGTGGGTGTAGCAGATATCAGGCTGAGATATGCAGATCGAAGACTACAATAACTAGTGCATTTTTTACAGACACATCCGGAAGTACAACAACAAGCGACGATCTCGAGACGAAGGGTCCCAACGGCGGTGCAAACACGAACAGCGCAATACTGGACATGTACAATACCAGCAGTAGTGAAACACTGCATGACGGCAAATTACATGCCAACGGCGGCTGGCATTCATCCTTAACCCATACCAGCCCACAGGACATCCTGCACGCCCACCCATACACCATCCATGCTGATTATATGCAGCATAAAGATGCGCAGAATTTCTACACGCGCTACGCTGATTATGAACAAGAATACAATCCCAATACATTCTTGAACCTGCCGGCCATATATACACCCACATTGTCCATTGAACAGCAGGAGCAGGAAGGATCGCGAGATCCATCGCCTTACCAGACTTCCGGTCTACCCATTCGGCTTCCAGAACCACTTTATACCCAGCGCTTTCCAAATGGAATCAACGGATCAGTAATGATGCTCGACGCCACTCTCAATTCACGACTGGCCACTAATGTATAGACTGGACTATTCAGAAAAGCCGGATATGGGCAAAAATATTTGGAGAATCATTTCAAAGATTATTCAGAATTTTTACGCTACTCTTTTCTGTGTACCATGCCTGTATGCACTCGAGTCTCCCGGCATTGCCGGTTACGCCCTTATCTCGTTTTGTATCTCTTGCCAAGTATATGTTTTTTAGTTTCTTCCGACAGGCAGCAACAATTTGTACGTTGTTTGTATTTGCCTTAATTACTCCAAAGAATCTCACTAGTACTCTTGTGTAAATAGCTGGTGAAACTTTTTCTGTTTTTGTCCTGGGAAACTTCTCTGGTTGCTCAATAATTTAACAGTTTAATGCAGCTGATGCGATCGTGACCCTTGCTGTAAGCTGTGTTCTGCAACTTCTAACGCATAACATTTTCACTGTTGTTATTGTGTGAATAGCTCATAAAAGTTTTATTATATGCAGTTTGCTGACCGCAACTATCGATTTGAAACAGTCAAAGAGAAGGCATTGGATAGTAACTAATCGTATTTGCATGCAGATGGCCTAGTCTGTTGACTCAGTGATTTCCTTTTTCCATTCTGCATCAAAAATAAAAAATCGTTTTGCTAACTCGCATTAGAGGAACAGAATAATTGGATAATAACACTCTTCATCTTCGATTATTGTGTTGAGGAGTAACATGCCAGCGTACAACAGAAAGCAAGAAAAATTCGGCATTTTTTACAATACAGAACCAAAAGTGTTTCCCGCTGAAAAATCCTGTCTCAGTATTTGATAATTGCTAGAAAATAGAATGCGTTGACCCAGTTTTGTTCATAATAAAGCGTTTTGTGGTTTTCTTGCGAGGTAAATAAAGGTCAGCATCACTGTATATTTCCAGCCGTCAATATGCACCGTAAAGTGGACGCAGTGCAGCAAACTAACTACAACTACAACTGTACAATGCACATAAAAAGGGTGTTTATTTGGATGATATTATACGTAGATGCTTCGTTATGTGCTTTGCATTGATAAAATAATTCACAGGAGGCTGCAGCGTCTTCGTAAGGGTTAACGAATAAACTCCAAATTAAACTGTACCAAAACGTTTGTTGAAGTTGTCGAAGTGCATGATTACGAATGGATGACGATGTTGAATCCACATATCATATGCATATTGCACTGAATTACTTCTTAACTATCGAGGCTTAATTATACAACTCGAGAACGGAAACAAAAACAATGGCGCGCCTGTTGGCAGTGTTGTTCACCCTCCCTTAGCCTTGGCTGATCCCGGGTCAACAGCGCCAGATAGAGCGGATTTGGTCTGGTATCCGTGGGCGCAGCAGGTGCACTGGCTCCCACTTTGCCGGCTGCATTATTACAAGCGGTTCGGCTTGTTGGCATGGCGTCCCGGTGACCGTTTACCCAGCGCTTGGGCTCATTTAAATCTAAAAGCCGTGACCCCCTGCACCGAGATGGAAACAACGCACGCAATGGTTGCATCACAGATATATTGCCAGCTTCCAAATAATAACAACATTTAAGAGAAAAATATCTACCTTGCAGCAGTGAGCAAACTGTCACGACCACCTGCTACGACGCCAACTGGGAGAGGACACCGGTTCCGGTCGGACTACTACTGAATCGGCTTTCGCATCCTGCAACCCTGTAAAGAGCGCGGTTACTCATAAGTTATGATGTAACACCTGATTTACTATAAACAGAGCAGGTGCGAAATGTGTTATGCTTCCCATGGAAATACATAGCGTGACATTTAGTATAATCGTGAAATCGGTGCATTTAATACTCGTACTGCATACAGAACACTCCGCCGAATTCTAAATTCCATCATTTAATTTTTCATTTGGTGTGTCAACTCATACAACAAGCCACAAGGCATAGCGATAACGATAACAGGGTGTAACGATAAGGTGAAAGTCATCGTATTAAGCGTATTAAGTTTTACAGCGCTCTTGATTACCGAACATTTTATCGGTGACCACAGCAAAATAACAACAATTACGTACATAATATTGCACAAAATTAATGATCCGTCATTTGATCATGAAGGCTCGACGTGGGACAAAGAAATATCTGTACATATTTTATACGAAAAAGAAAACATACTCGTACATCTAGATCATTAACATGAACGCATGTGTTAAAGCAACCGCAACACATCCAGAACAAACATACCTCGGTTGAATCTGACCGCAAGCATCCACCTTATTGACCATTGGTACCTAGCTGAAACCGTTCTATGACCTGACCTGAACTTCACCTTTTTGCAAAAAAGCAAAATGTTCTCCTGAATTTCAGGCCGCTGTGAGGAGCGGCGCGCGGTCATTCAGCGTATCATTAAGCGTATAAAATCTTGAACATTATACCGCTAATGTCCAACGTGGTCTAGCTGTAAGTGCTTCGCGTTAAAGCCTGGTGGACGGGGGTTCGGTTCCCTGCGTTGCGCCGTTGGCAACATTTTTCGGAATAATGCTCAGATTCAGGCTTATTTAGGCTTCTCAGGCTCAGACTGCCGCCGCTAGGCGTACTCCCCTTACACCGCATAATACGCTCTACGTTAGAGTCGGTCTCGCAGCACAAGACGTTTTGTTTCTAGTATTGAAAAATCGGTGCTCTTTTTTTTGGAAACGTGCTCTAGACAGGTACACGTTGTAGCACATTTTACATGTCTGACACCACTGGCACGGGCATACGTATGTGGATACGAGTATAACAGTTCCCGGTATCTTGAATATTCTTTTGCGACCTTTATTATGCCTTCCGAAAACCTGAAGATGGATTAAACGGTTCAGTTCATTTATCTAATAGTACGGTTCAGATATTTGCAAATAGCGCTTCGTTTCCCATCATTAATATTTTACATCATGCTTTGTCGGCTTCGGACTTTCAGTAATGCAAGATCTGCTAATTTTTGTAAAATAAAACCGTGCGACTTATTTAATTTTTCAGTTTGATGCAATAAAGAACATAAGTATTTGTAGCTTGTGACGAAATGTTTAATATGCATCTTCAGATGATACCAAAACTATCGAACTCAAAAATTATTGTTAAATTCCGGAATCAAAAACCTTTGATGTTGCTATAGGTTGAACCAAGGTGGTTGAACCGTTGAAGCCATTGGTAGTTTCATTGCTTGCATCCGTCGCAGACCTATGTACGTACAGTAGAGTGGTACGTACTTGCAAGCGAGACATGGTCAGCAGCACTGCAAGTCTGCAACCTCACGAGAATCTGTATTTTTTATTCTACGTATTTTTTTTACCTTTTCGCCGTTAATAACTGCAAGATTGATTAACAATAAAAAATTTCAGTAGAAGACTATGAATACTTACCTCCCAAAAAATGGCAGAACTGGCGCGCTATATAAGTTCTCGAACACTAATGTTTACTAGTCACAATCGTTTCAATATACGTTGCAATGTGCTCGTATATTGAATGTTTTGTATTTGTATTGTCTTCGCTGCTGCAAATGGTCACTAAAACAATTAAGCATGTTACAAAAAATTCGGGCCCTTATACGATATTGCAACCTCCTCGCAATTGTGCCACTTAAAACGAGCAGCACTGGGCAAATGCAGCCAAGCCGCGTAGATCCTGGAGTCTGTAATTTTTTTCCAAATGTACTCGAAGCGAAAGCCTCAAGTAGTTTTTAACCTGCGTAAAACGTAAATTTAGGAAAGGCCACGAAAGCCGGCAAGGTGATCGACCGGAATGCTTAGGAAGTCAATGCGAATGATGTTCAGCGGGTACGATGTACATACAATCGTATCACAACTTCTACGCAGCAACATTCAGATTTCTAAGAGACTCATTAACGAATTTCCGGTAGTTGTCTTCCCGTTTGGGTCCTTACTGATTCCTTAACACTCGCACTCGTCTATGGTTTAATTACACGGAGTTTTCTTGTGTGCCGCGCAGGCGCAACCCATGGGTTAGTCCCAATCTGGTGTAGAACGGTCGCGTATTCATAAAAAATGTTTCCTACACTTTGTTCTTTCTTTTTATTAAGCATCCAAGTAGAAAGAGTTGGTTTTGAATCAGTAAACTGAATCTGAAAAGAAGTGAGGACTTCGCAAAAAAATTCGCAGCAGAGCCAAATCACGCTGCCACACTGGGAGTCTGCCATTTGTTCACCAACCGGAAGCGGTTGGAATTCGTAGTTTTTAAGTTTTCAGTTCATTTATTTCTGCTAACTGTTTCAGTAAGTGAAAAGCAAACAAATTTTCTGAGGAATTCAGGTTAGGTAGGACGAAGTCAGCTGCCAGTATAATGTTCCACGAATTTCTGAATGATTAAATGTGCCTCACAGGCACATGGACGAGGGCGAGTGTTAACAGCTTTTCTGACTTCTGAGAACTGACTTCCAAGTCGATGTTTGGCATATAGCGACATTACTAGTCATTACATAACTGCTTTAAAACATTTAACAGACCAGAAGTAACTAATAGAGGTTGGAAGCGGTATGGCCACCGCCACAGGCCAGAAACGTGCGAAAGAGTTTTTTAGACAGCGACTCTCTATCCAGATACAACGGGGGAATGCGATTTGTGTAATGGGTACAATTCCCGATCAGGATAGCATTGAGGAAGTGTTTTTGTTATAAGATTAATGTTTTCTAGTACTAAGTCTGTACTTGTGACAGGATACTTATTAAAGGTTTTGGTAACTAATAGAGTAATACCGTAAAATAGTATAATTATCATTGCTGTTGCAGTACACGTATGGGTGAGCTTAAGCCGCAGCTAGACCTCCAGTTGCAAAGCCCCCTGACATAATCCCGTGCAAAAACGAAAACCACAAACCTAACACGACTGCATAGTGCACAGTGCACACTAACAAGTAACAGGTGATTAGCTTGTTTAAACCTTTTCAGGAGTGGTTTATTGATTGCATGGTTTCTTACATTGTATTTTTTGCACAGTCCAACTATAACGTATAATAAAAAAGGTTTTTAATTACTGTATTTAGCTGGAACTGGTGTAATCAATTGGATTTATATTGAGGGCTTGTTTTAATTACACTGCTGCAACTTCATTGGGAACAGAAGAAAGGCTACATAAAACACAAGCTCTTAAAATAGTTTTGGTCGCAAAATGATGGAATGCATTCCAGTCGTCCCGTTATCTGATATGACAAAATTAGTACAGACAGTATTAGGGGATATCATGTTTAAATTCTTATTCAAATATTATAGAAGATTTCCGTACCGGCCTATCTCCGGCTACGCGCTTAATTGCACGCAACGAGTGCGCTCTACAAACGTATTTTAGCCCTCACGTCTCACGAACAATGGCTGTGACGGCTGTCTTTGCTTAGGAACAATTGGGAATTTTGCTTGCTTTTGCACATTTGTACATGTACATGTAACGTACATAAAACTGTAGTTGGGAATCTGACAAGGCCCTTAATCACCCCTTTTTAGGTTTACTAGAGGTACACCTTTTTGCACTTCCA